CGTTTATCAAGTTTGTACGACTTTATGGCTTAGACTTGCTTGTGGGGATATTGAAATGTTTCTAAAAACATTGTAATCATGTTTTTAGTTATGGATATTTGTGTATTCCGCGTTGCTGAGTACTTTGTGGATATTTGATCTTTGTTTCATTGTGTTTGTTGAATATATGAGATATCTGTAGTGTCAAGGTATTTGATATCGTGGTTTGTGTTTTTGTGGATCATTATAGATTGTGCTATATTATTCTGTAATCAGCGAAATTTGTGTTTTTCTGTACATGAAAATCTGCAATATACAGGGAAACTTTCAATATTTCTAGTTAATATGTAACATTCTTGACAACATACGCCGTCAACATTGTAGATTGCTGAAGGCAATTGCCATCAAGAACACATTCTTGATGGCAATAGCCGCCAGCAATCTACGACAACGTATGCCGTCAAGAATGTATAAACATTGTTGATGGCACCACCATCAGGATTGTACATTGTCGACAACGACACCGTCAAGAATATTTAAACTTTCTTGATGGCACTTACCATCAAAACTGGTCATTACTAACAGATGCCCGTCAAGATAACGCTATCAACTCTACGCTTTCAGGAATACGTATTCCCGACGAGCGCTCATCACACAAACATTCCTGACGGAATATTTACCGACGTAGAGAATCTACATTCTGACGAGTTTTTAACCATTCTTGATGGGACCGACTGTCAAAAATGAGGGCATTTTTCTACTAGTTGGCGGCAAATTAGTAAAGAGTAGGATATGGAGACTATGGAGACACTGCTGTATAGATACATATTAAAATTAATAATCTAGATGAGATCGATATTAGTTTTCATTCGCATGTTACCTATACCATTTTTATGTCTCTCTCATAAAGTAGATTATAAATTGAAAAACCACTTGTTTTTTAACTAGATATCCAAACAACCTTCTAAAATCATATTTATGATCTACGTATGTGCTAAAACGAACGTGTCCCGAGTCCAACGAGTTGCATAAATTTGAGGTGAAGTGCACGATGTATGTCCAATAAGTTTGTCATGAGTTTTTTAAACTAAAATAACTTATATAATTAAGTACACGTCTGGATAAATGTATGTATGTATTTAAGAAATGTCCAAGAAGTGTCGAACACGAACACGGAAAGTGTCAAACACAGATACGGGAGCCTAGGTATTCTACAATTACATTAGAAATCACTCCTCCATTTTAAGCATTCTGATTTAAGTTGATGGACATCATCCTCATTCTCACTATTATAACAAATGATTAGTCCTACATAAAGAAAGTGTTTACATTTAAAGATTTCTTGACTATCAATATGTATTATAGACTCTTTTCTCTTTACACTTATTAAAATTGCATTCCATATATTCTGTTTTTGTTCTATTGATTGCAGAACCTTTAGTTTCGACAATCTATCTCCACCTTTCTATTTCAAAAACTCTACTTTTTCTAGCATCGCCAACTAAGATTACATCATCAGCAAATAATATACATCATATGACTTTCATCCTGAATATCTAATAAATTGGTCAATAACTAATGCAAAAAGAAAACGGCTTAAGGCTAACCCTTGATGTAAAACCTATGGCAATATAAAATGATTTAGTTTCTCCTTTGATTGTTCTTACTCTAGTGGTACACTGTTATACATGATATCTTTAATCACATCAATATATATACCATATATGTGTTTCTTTTCTAAAACACCCTATTATCTCTCGACACTCTATCATAAGCTTCTTTGGGGAAAGAAGCAAGCATAAAAAACATGGGGGATACAATAGGAGAAAGGAGCATGTTCACAATAAAGTAGAGCATATGTGTGTATGAGGCAAATTCAATTGAATCACACCTCATGCACATCTTGAGGTTATATATCAACTTGGTTTAATCTATAAAGTTGCAAGGAATTCATGATAAGAGTCTTTGCTAACACATGACCATGTAAGGGAGGAGAAATACCCTAAAAGACCATAAAAGGTTAAGTACTGATGCAGATCTGGACTAATAGGAAGCACATAAAACAAAAGAGACCTGCATAAGCAAATAGCTTGCTAGACTTGTTAACAATGAATGGACTAATAGGAAGCATTAACAATGAATGGAGATGGATAAGCAAATAGCTTGCTAGACTTGGCTCCTTACTATCTGAATCCATAATAATCATGAAGGGACTAGTACTTACTTTTACTTGCAATAATTACTTCGAACTTACACCGCGAAATGTATCACACAAACTGATTATTGAGTATTGACTGATAATAATCGACTCTAAATTTACATATCACAAAAAATTGTAGCGTTGCTTTGTTCTTTTTATTAACATATTTGGTCTACATGCCCAATTTATATTGTTATACTCAACAAGTTACGTATTTAAGTTCAAAAGTTAATACTCATTTGTCTTATTTCAATGCCTATGCATATTTATTTTAGTTAGAACTTTCAGAGGCATTTCCCTTGATTTTTCTTTTTTTTTACATTTTTACAAATTTTATGGCCTTTTCTTCATGTTTTAACAGGCAGATTTGCTACCAATGCTTACTCTTTCATCCGTGGCTTTAACATTTCGCCAGTTATCCTATAGCAGTGCATGCTTTAGCAGATGGAAGCAGTGCCTAGTACATTAGGGGCAATTGTAGTCTGGTCACCTAGAATGTAGAAATGAAGCTTTGATTAATGAAGATTCTTGTGATCCCCTAAATGAAGCTTTGATTAATGAAGTTTCTTGTGATCGCCTACGTTCATCTTGTTAGTTTACAAGTGGCTTTAGGAAGGCTCCATTCTTTTATTCCCTTGCATATTAACAATCAACGTTCACCTAGATCAGGCAGAAGGAATATAATTCTCTTACTAGATATACCCCGTTGTATATATAAAAAATGCAATTGTGAATGGTTATGTAACATATAACACATAATAGGATTGCAGGTTGCATAACACATTAGGTAAACTTACATGAAAATAGATTTTTTTTTAACAATTCAAGTTTCAAAATTCCTAAAAATATGAAAATCGGAAAAAATGATACAATTTTTAAACATGCAAAAGCCTAGTAGATTATCTATCTGCTTTATTTTTCCAATAAGTCATTCAAACCAACCATTTCTATCATTTATTGATTATTTTACATCTCTTATTGAATTTTGCATAGATTTTGGAAGATTTTTTGTAATATTTGTCAATAAAATGCTGCAACTCGCTTGCAGAGTGTAGGTAGTGCAGGCATATTGCACGCTAGCAGATATATAGAATACTGAAGCATATACTTTTAACTTCACAACATTGGGGAAGTAGGTACGAACAAGCCAAAGAGCGTCTTCTTCATTGTTCTATAAGTTCATTCCACTATCTAGATGAATGCACATTATTCCCACTAACTTTCCATTAAGCACTACCACCCATGATGCCAATAATTTTCTGCAATCCCATTTTCATTCCTTGCAACGGAATGATGACATGGAGGACAGAAGCCCCATTATGACCCAATTGAGGGAGTCTACCTTGTGTGCTGCCGATCCTTCCTTTCTAGTTATGCAAAATATTATCATGATAGGAGTTATTCCCTTTTATTTCCCAATAAACTCATCTTAAGGCCCAATATTTTCTCTACTCATGCCATCAGAGCTTTCTGGATACCCCATCAGTTAGCCCCCCTCCTCCACCCATATATCCTTTGTAGAGCATAACCATCAAAGCCCAATATGACTACTTATCATGCCCATCATATTCCACAAATATGCCATAACTTTACTAGCATCCCTGGAGGTGCTTGCCATGAAACCGACATTTCTATGGGCATAATAGCAAAAGGCTACCACTCTCTGACACGAATTCTATCGTCCATGAAAAAGAACCTCCCAGCAAGGCTACTGGCCTGGATGATTATGCGCAGAGACTAAAAACTCAAGTACAGTAAAATGGACCACAACTACTGAATCTCTCATTGCTAAAACCATCAAAATGAGATTCTCTTCATAAAATGTCATGAACAAATCTCCTGATTTGTATTCCATTATGCATCCAATTTTTCTGACCTATTTACATCCTCCCTATTCCTAGAGTTGAGTAAGCAGGTATTCTCCACTATGTCACTTTCAAAGAAGAGGAAAGGTTTCGCACTTTTGTATTTCTGCCACCACATCTATGGTGCGTTATCCCTCATTTTCTCTATTTATGTATAAAGGAATGATGGTTATGAGATGGTAGCTCATTTTGCAAAATAAGCTACCAAGATATGGAGTAGTGAGAGTCAAACCTTTTAATGTGACTAGCAAGGTAGGCCTCCTCACTTGGTTATCTCTTAGTAGCTCATTTAACAAAATGATCCACCACCTCATATCCATTATTTCCTACGTACATTAGATAAAAACCTTATTCTCTTTAATGGCAACTTCCTGATCATCTACATAATGCAAAGCACGAAGTCTCCAAAATTTAAAACTAATGCCTCGTGGCAAAGACGGAATTTTGGCTGGGTTTGCATCCAATCCCTACTTTTTGCTTCTTTTACCACAAAAATCTATAACATGCACGTCTTTTCTACCGAACGTGGCTCATCACTGTTTAGAGCCTTAAGGTGACAGGATATAAGCAACTGATATATATATATATATATATATATATATATATATACATACATATACATATATATATATATATATATATATACATATATATATATACATATATATATATATATATTTATGAAGATGTTGACAGCATCATAGTCTTGGAACTAAAACATGCACACAATTAATTTTGCAAAGTCACCTGGGTTGGGTATGAATTTGCTCAATCACAAAATATATGAAATAATGAGATTTCGGCTAACAATAATTATCCATTTATTATGAAGATATGAAAGGCAAGATGAAAGTAGTAAAGACAGTTGCCATAAGATCTACGAAGTATTCTGCTTGCACTTTAAAATGGCAGCAACACAGTGCCAGTTTAAAATTAGAAGAGCTTTCAAGCAATACCTGAAGTGAAGGAAGAACAATGTTGTATACTTCAAACAAAAACTTTGACGTTGAAGTAAATCTGCATTGATCATCAATTTTTATGTAAGATTATCAAATAATGTTTTTTCCCAGATGTCAGAGAGAAAAATTTTAGAATAAACTAAAAGCAACAAATATCAGTAAATAGTGAAAATAGTCTGTATATCATGAATTATCATAGTAATCTAAGCCAATATGAACACATTATGAGAGAAAATAAATGCTTTTTTCATTGTCAAAGGACCTTGCCAAAACTCTAAAGTGTGAAAGTTAAGGGTCATAATTTTATACTCTAACATGTCAAAAAAGTTTGAGCACCCTTTTTTGTGACCCGAAACCAAGACTCACACAGCGGTAGATATTTATTTTATTTATTTATTTTGAAAATCCACTTTAAATTTGTGGCTAGCGGGATTTAAACTTGGACTGCTCTAATACCATGTCAAAGGACCGTGTCACTACACCAAAAGTTCGAAGTTGTGGTGAGGGAGATCCGTAGAATGAAAAAAATCAAGCCTTCAAATGCTCCTCTAAACCTAGATCAGTTAGAAGAGATGGAAAAAAATGTTGAGACAAGGGAAACTTTATTGTTCGTTGTGATCAGCTTACAAAAATGTGGGTGCCTAAGGGTCCCTAGGAAGTTTTTGATCTTGATGCAGGGTACTTTATTGTTCGTTTTACCATGTCCAAAGATCGACAGTTTGCATAAGAAGCAGGACCATGGGCAATTTTAGGTCATTAGCTAACTATCCGGACATGGGTGATAGTATTAGTAAAACTTTGACGTGGACATGAACACTAAGAAGGGGTCACATGGGAAATATCCTCGTGTTTTTGTCGAGGTCGATCTTGGCAAGCCTCTAAAGAGCGAGGTAAAAGTTGATGGAGATTGGCAGTCAGTCTAATATGATGGGCTACAGTTAATATGTTTTTATTGCGCTATGTATAATCGTCGAGAAGCGACATGCCCACAGAAGGTGTTGGCGAGAGCTTCTCAGTATCACCCTCAAGGAGGCATTGTGACTACTACTACTTTGGACCGTGCGAATGTTGAGATAGACGGTGGACTACCAGGGGAAAAGTACAGTGGTTCTATGAAAGTTAAACAGCGGGATGTTTTCGGCCATCAAAAAAGTTTGTCAATAAATGGTGGGACCATGTGCTTACAAACGCGAAGTGCTCTGAAGACACCTACAATCTTAGGCTCACCACTTACAGCATTATCAGTTAAGGATGATATTATTGAGGATCATTTGAGAAAGCATCCAAGAGTTTGATGAGACTAAGCAAATTACAAATGAAATCCGAGAGGAAATCTTGGAGCAATGACTATCTATATTTAAGGTCACTAAGGTTCGCTACAAATCACGTTATCATGATCAAGAATCTGGCCTTAATGAGCCTTTAAGTAGGGTCTCGAGGGGAAAAAACATCAATGCAGCCAATGAGTTTTTTTTAGGCCCAAACAAATGCTGGGCCTACTACAAGCCAAAACAAATCCACAAGTCTAGGTTGTGCCTTTGCCGGTTAAGTGCCAATACTGAACTAGTAGCCCTTTTTGATGGGCCTGATTGCGCCCTAACTCGCCACCCTATTAATATTGAGTCGTCCCTGACTTCTTATGCTCAACCTTATTGCTATGTTTGGGAGTTCACTAAGGGAAGGGACTTCTTATGCTCAACCTTAATGCTATGTTTGGGAGTTCACTAAGGGAAGGGAAAGAAGGGTAAGGAAAGGAAGGGAGCTTATCAATTTTTCCTTCCCCTCCTTTAGCCCTCAATTTCGGATGTGAGATTTTAGTGTAGAATTTCTCTTCATTTTCTTCCTCTGCCCTCCCAATAGAACTCTAAAACAAGATTAAACTCAAATTTCTCTTCTCTTTCTCTTCTCTACCCTCCATCCAAACACAACATAAAGTAATATTGGAGCAACAGGAGAGCAATGAAGAGAGTTATTCCCGATGTGACCTCCAGATCCAAATTTAGATGTCAAGGATGATCTAAATAGTTATACGAGTTCTTCCGATAAACTCTGTACACTAATGGCTATTATTAGTAGCCTCTACAGCTGATTGCCAAATGTTAGGATTTCCCATTGACCCTCCATTTAGTAGAGTGCAATACCAGGATTCTATGAACGAGATTTCCACGAGTTTATAGAACATGTTTGTTTTCCACATGAGGTTTTTAGAATTGTAAGGGCGCTAAGAGGACTCCTTATTGTCGAAATATTGTTGAATTATGTTGAGTTCACAGACCACGTTTCTTCGCTGTCATGGAGCCAAGGGTTTTTGCCTCTATTGCTAACTTGATTATTTGCTTATTGTGATTCTTCAGTTCGTCTCAAGCTAATCAGGTCAATTTCTCTAGAGGTGTCTGGCTATTGTGGACTAAGCCAACTATTACAGTGAAGATTTAGAGTGCTAATCCCAGAGCTATCATGTACTTATTTCTAGCATTGGTCTAACTCTATGATCGCTATCTGCAGTCTATGCTAGTCTGGTTCTCACCAACTGATGTTTTCATTAAATTTGCTCCAGGTGTGCCCTCCCATGGTTATTAGCAACGGATTTAAATGAGATGGTGACATTTTTTGAGAAGAGGGGTGTACGACATGTAAGTCTTAATAGAAGTTCTCAATTTGTCACATGGATTGATGATTGCATCTTGATGGATCTTAGCTATCAAGGGTACCCTTTCACATGGAGTGTGCTTCGTGAAGGGGTTGGACTGGTGGACGAGTAGATCATCATTAATTCATGTTCCCAGAAGCATGGGTTACTCACTTACCACGCTCTTCGTCGAATCATGATCTTATTCTTCTCACACCTTGCAACAAGGAACGATGTATGCCTAGTCTTAAGCCTTTTCGGTTTGAGGAAATATGGTTTAATAACCCTGACTTATCGAGTTTATAAACAAAAACTGGTTTGATGGGAATTTGCTACAAGTTACTAAATATCTTGCTTCTGGCTAAGTACTTGAAATCTAAGCACTTTTGACAATCTATTCTGATGGAGGAGACTAGTCACAGCAAGACTCTTGGCTATATAACGGGTCCTAACCTTTAAATGGTCAACATTCTTCTCTCAGTTAGAGAGAGCTAAATAGGGAACATGATTGTTCTTCGACAAAAAGAGACTCTTTGGCATGAGAAATCTCATCTCAAGTGGTTTGTGAAGGGAGGGCGTAACACCAAATTCTTTTATGTAACTACTTTTTGTTGCCAAAGGAAAAAACAATATATTGGCTCTAAAAGATGCTAATAGGAGTTGGTGCACTGGGAAAGAAGAACTCAAGCAGCTTGCTATGGCTCATTTTAGAGTTGTTTATGTTGCTCTCCTTAACTCTACACTCCTATCAATATTGGGTCTGGTCCAAGCTTGACAACAATAGACCAACAAAGTCTTGTCCAACCTGTAAATAGTTTGGAAGTGAAGAAAGCCTTGTTTAGTATGCAATCATTTAAAGCGCTAGTTGTGTATTGGTTTCAAGCAAGTTCTTCCAGAGACTCTAGCATGTAACCGGCCCTTTGATAGCTCTTATTCAGAAGGCTATAGTACAGAGCAAGTTTTCAGAAGGGTTGTAGACTACACTCATTACGCTGATACTAAAAGTACTGAGCCCTGAAATACTCAATAAATTTCGACCCATAAGTCTTTGTTCTGTTGCATATAAGGTTATTACCAAGGTTTTGGTTAACAGGCTATGACCTAAGCTCAGTGATTTTATTGATGAATCTCAAAGCAATTTAATCATGGCGGGCTTGCTAAGTTGGTAGTGACAATATATTGGTTGCACAGGAGTTAGTTTATGTAATTTACAAGAAAACCAACCGCTACGGTCTTGTGGCTCTCAAGATTGATCTCAAAAAGCTTACGACCAGGTACAATAGGATTTCTTAGAGGACACTGAGGTATTTTAGGTTTCTGAATCCTTGGGTCAAGCTAATAATGTTTCGTCAACAAGACTAAACTCTCTGTAATTTGGCATGAGGCAATGTCAGATATGTTTGAGATCAAGTGAGGTTTGAGGTAGGGTAACCCGCTCTCTCCTTGTTTGTGCTATGGAAGGAGAGATTGAGTCGTTTCACCTGCATTGTAGTTGATAATGGTTAGTAGCATCCAATTCAATGCTCTCTCGATACCATTTCCATGGTCTTGATACATTCTGTGAGGCAGTCGATCAATCCATTAGTGCTTCAAAGTCTCAGTGTTACATCTCTCCGAACAGCTCTTAGGCAAATGTTGATAGAGCTTGCTCAATTTTGGGTTTTCAAAGAACAAGTGATTTGGGTAAATATTTAGTTCTTGTTCATGGTCAAGTAACTAAGGCCACTTACATAGAGCTTGTTGAGAGGGCACAATCTCGACTTGCATTATAGAAAGCTTAGCATTTATCAATGGTACGGAAACTCGTACTAATTAATTCAATTCTAACTCTCTACCCATCTAAAATATGCAATCCACTTTGATGCCTTTAGGTGTTTGCGAGGAATTAGATAAGCTGCCCGTGGCTTTCTATGGGAGGATTTGATTATCCACACAAACTCCATCTTGTCACCTGGCAAGAGATTATAAACCCAAGGCTTTGAGGGTCTTGGAATTAAACAAATGTATTTCAGCTAGGCACTTTCTAACGAAGTCGGATTTGATATGAGTTCAGGTTATGAAGTCGAGATACTTGCACAATGGAGGTCATTTTTAACAGTCGAAGCCTCTGGCATCTCCTTGTTTACTTAGGAAGCCTACTTCAGACTCAAGAAGTCTCAGACCATGACCATCAACGGAGAATTGGCAATGGCAATAGTGTCCGCTTTAGATTGGATTCATGGGTTGATAGTGCACCTCTCGTTCAGTATGCCTCTATACCAATTTTTGTAATAATAAAGATGCTCTCATCTCAGACTTCTTAGGCGATGCAGAATAGTGAGACTTGGTGGCTCTGGAGTAGGTTCTCCCCGCGAACATTGTTGATAAAATCTAGGGTTGCCTCGTGCTGAATAAGTTCTGATTACGGTAGTCATGTTGAAGCTTTTAAA